ATCTGTCTGCTCTAAGATATTTTAAATTAAGCAGTGATTAGCATGATAACATGTAGATAACATATCCAAACTGGGCTTGCGTTAATCCTTCTTACTTTATTACATAGCTATTGCATTACAATATGCAAACCCCAATAATTTGGACTTAAAAGGCAGGGCTGCCATCAGGGGGTGACAACCATAACGGTTATCATGGGCCCTGTGGGGCCCGGGCCCCACGTGTAGCGGCGGAACTGCCGCCGGTGCAGTAGCCCCGGGGCCCACACGCTGATGGTGCCCATCGGGTGGCCCATGCACTTAGGGCCACCCGATGGGCCCTATATCTTCAGGGGCCCGGTCAACGCTGTGGCCGTGGTATAGCTCAACCGGGCCCCTTTAAAAAAAAAAAAATGCAGCCGCAGTGCAAGTGCTGCTGGGAGGAAGTGGTCACTTCCTCCCAGCTCACTCCACGTGGGAGGAGCACGCGTCCGGCAGTGAGGGAGAGCCGCAACGACTAACCCCATCAGCCCCAGCCACCCTCCTGCAAAGACAAGGTAAGAAACAGGAGGGTGGCTGGAAAATGAGCTGTGTGTGTGTATGTCTGTCTGTATGCATGTCATTATGTGTGTATGAATGTCATTGTATGTATGTCTGCATGTCATTATGAATGTGTGTATGTATGTCTGTCTGTCTGTCTGTATGAATGTATGTATGCCAGTATGAATGTATGTATGCCAGTATGAATGTATGTCTGTGTGTCATTATGAATGTGTGTATGCATGGATGTCAATGTCTGTATGAATGTATGTATGCTGTCTGAATGTATGTCTGTCTGTATGTATGTATGTCTATCTGTATGCATGTCATTATGTGTGTATGAATGTCAGTGTATGTATGTCTGCATGCCATTATGAATGTGTGTATGTCTGTCTGTCTGTATGAATGTATGTATGCCAGTATGAATGTCTGTCTGTATGTCATTATGAATGTGTCTGTGTCTGTATGTCCTTATGCATGTGTGTCTGTATGTATGTTAGTATGTGTCTGTCACTATGTACACCTGTGTGTATGTATATGTGTGCATGTCTCAGTATGTGTGTGTCAGTATGTATGCCTATATGCGTATCAGTATGTGTGTCTGTTAGTATGTATCAGTGTGTGTGTGTGTATCTGTGTCCTTTTGCATCAGTGAATGTGTTTGTGTCTGGGTGTGTATTCCTGTGGGTGGGATTTGGAGGCGGTCTCTGTGGGCGGTTTTGGAGGCGGGCCCCCATGGGCCCAGACCCTGAGCTCAGTTAGGTGGTGGCGGCCCTGTTAAAAGGACACTACACTGACACACAGAAAAACAAAAAAATACATCCACTATTTTGTAGATATACTCCTGATGAAAAAACAAACAAACATTTAATAATGCATTAGTTCATTGGGTAGGAAGAGGGAGGGTAGATCTAAAAACAGCATCTCTTGTTTAATGCCTTTGCAAGTCCTCCCCTTGTAACCCTGCCCAGGCTTTCTGTGGTTGTCCAATCACAGACTTCCTGATGCAGCTCAATGAGAAGTATTTGCAAGGCAGGTGCTCTGAGCAATTGCTACCTCTTAAACAAACAAGTATTTCTGACACTATAGTTCTAAAATACATTTTTAGGTGGCCAGCCTCCCTAAACCTTAAAAGATGTTAAAAGATGAGTTCACCCACCTATTTCCAGCACCGCGCGGGTATGCCACCTTGGTTAAAATCAGCAAACTTGATGATCACAGGCAATCCAATGCTTTGCAATTGGAAAGCATTGGGAGTCAATCGCGCATGAATACAAATACAACATATGCATTAAAGCTGTGCCTGGAGGGCCCAGTGTCCCTTTAAGCAAAGTTAAATTAAAAAAAATAATAATTTGTTCACATAAGTCAGATTTTATATAACTTTTTCACAAGCAGACATTTATGTCAATAATCCTTAATAAATTGTATTTTTTATGGTTTACCTTAAATTTCCAGCCTACATACAATGAAACAGGGGTTATCATGCAGTAGGAAATTATAAGTGGAACAACAGGCATATCTGTGCATGCCGATAAATAAGAACACTGATTTTAATTGTAAGTAATTGTGTGCTCATGTTTAATACATAGTTTGCTTCCTATATACTAATTTATAATTTCTGCATTTATGACTATATTACTTGGGTGACAGCTGGCTGTACCATGTTTTCTTCCCAAGGGAAGTGTTCAAGTAGAAATCAGGGTTCAAGAAATGATCTTCAACTAGATGGACCAAGGGAAGGATGAAATTCTTCAAAAGAACCTTGCATATAAGTGCTTATTGAATGCACAAAGTAGCAGCTGGTGAACAGCTGCTGTTCACTTACTGCTTTGTGAATGGGATAAACACTCCAGTTCAAGCACACAGTGTATGGCTGCTACGTCACTAAACTCTGTTCTATATATAAATGTTAGAATTGGAGAAATGTTTTACATTTATTTATCGTATATATATATATATATATATATATATATATACACAATATATATGTAAATATACTTTAAATAAATGTAAAATTCTAATATTTAATCTGATACATATAGTAATACACTGAACATCTTATTTGACATCCACAAATTGCTAAAATGTTGTTACCTCTGGCAGGAATAAGTCAAGTTTGCATACTAAAAACCAAACTGGAAATTAAACTCCTAATACAAAACCACCCATAATTACCCAAACAGGTGCGGGAACATATAGGAAATAACATGCTATTTTTATTAGATCACTTAATCCCGCCAGTACCAAGGATTTAACGATTGAAAAAAAAAATATATTTTTTAAAACATTGGATGCATAGCTAGCATTTAAACATATTATAGCACAGCAATGTTGCGTATAGATTGCTTTGTAGAACAAGAATAGGGAAATCATTGTGTATATAGCACTTATAATTGTGTATATATTACAAATAATCAGGTAAAGCAGCTCAAAAACACTCATGTGGAAATACCTCTTCCCCTTACCTGAATAGTGATATTTATGGTAATATATAAATACTAAATCTATATTGGAGTGAAGCGCTGAGTGGAAAGCGAACCTTGCATAAAATATGCTTACCCCTTAATGATATATTCAGGGGAGTATATAGTTAGGAAGGATATATAGAATAAAAAAATGAAAAAAAGCATATAGTGCAGACGGTATAAAGTGCTAGAAATCGTATAAAATGGTGATATATATCAACTCACATGAACCTGTATAGTTACTGGCTCAGTAGAAGGCACCGTTATTCTCTTTAGGGCAGCATCACACCTCTAATGGATTTTGAGTAAATAACCTCCAAGCATAAAAAGGAAAAAAAGAACATACAATAGTGCAGATAGTCTATAAATACTTGTGACTTGACATATGTATATAAATGTTAAGCTCACCTTTTTCAGAGCCTAATGTGCCTGGCTCTGAGGTGGAAAAGCTGAGTGTCAGATTGTGGGGTGATGCATCCCCTAGGATGTGTAGAAGTCACAGGGTCAGGACTGGACACCAGGATGAATCCAACAAAGATTTATTAAATTTATTTGTTATAAAAAACAATATAATGTTAAAACAAAGTTGGTATTAGTCCAATCAGTGCAGTTCCTGTTGTAGTTGCCAAAATGCGTTTTGCTTGAATCCAAGCTTCTGTTTCATCTTTGAATCTTTGAACCCAAACTTCTGTTTCATCTTTTATATGATCGCGCCAGATCTGTTTGGCCGGTCACGTGAGTTCTTCCCATACAATCGGAGGGCTTTGCCCATAATTAGGATTTAAAGACGTACATATGTGATCTTCGGTGGCTAATTATGACGAACGCGATCATCAAGATATGTGACTTCATTATCAGCCCACATAACTGATCTCGTTGTGGGCGGAAGTGGCGTCACGATCCAACTTTTAATTGATGATATATGGGACCTTCCAACGAGAGAAAAGCCCTGTTATTTCATGGGGAGTCGGGAAAAAATGTGGAAAAAGGAAATAGAGTAAAAAATGATAAATAATCAATATGCACAATAAAGATTTTATTTATTTAAAAAATATTTGTAATTATATACAATAGTATGTGCAGTGAAAAATCATATAGATTAATTCCTTACATACTATAAAATATAAAATAGAGCCTGGGATTATTATTAGGTATGAAAAAATATATGAATGTATGTGGGATACAAAGTATGGTAAAGACATATAAAAGGGGCGGGGGGATAGTGATATTTATAACAGGAGAGAAAATAGTGGTATTAAAAAATATGTTACCATGGAGATGGAACAGCAATTTAAAATTATTACAGAAAATGAAATAATTCTAAATCTATATTCAGACCTGCCGGTTGGAGTGTGTTCATTTCGAAAATCCATTTCATTTCTGTCTGGCCAAGAATTTGTATGATGTCACCTTTTTTCCAGTTTCCCAGATCTCTTTGTATTCCCATAAATTGTAAATCTTTAGGGTCATCTCCATGTTGAGATTTGAAATGTTGTGAGACGCTATGTCCGTCAACATTTTTTAATGTTGCGGACATGTTCCTCTATTCGTATGTGGAGTTGTCGTTTAGTTACATAGTTACATAGTTACATAGCTGAAAAGAGACTTGCGTCCATCAAGTTCAGCCTTCCTCACATTTGTTTTTTGCTGTTGATCCAAAAGAAGGCAAAAAAAACCAGTTTGAAGCACAATTTTTCAACAAGCTAGGAAAAAAATTCCTTCTTGACCCCAGAATGGCAGTCAGATTTATCCTTGGATCAAGCAGGTGCATCTCCTAAGGTGCATCTCCTAAGGCACCGAAACGCGCGTCGGGCGTTTTTCCCATCCTTTATGAGCACTGGGCACTGGTGTTTATAGCACCATGTTTGGCACGATTTTCATGGGATTTCTTTTGGTTTAATATATTTTTCACCATATTTTCTTCTGCTCCTATGTCTATCTAGTTAGCTTACCAGGGAGAGAGGCTTTTCTAATTATAAATTGTCAGTTTTTTAGAAACTGCACATTTGCATTACTATTTTCCCTCTCTCTCTGTGCTCTACACCTAATCCTGTCCTGTATGTAATTGGAGGTGTTTTGTATCCTTGTTATTTACTGTCTCTGCCCTAGATAGGGGTTTTATGTGGCACCTATACAATTCTATTACAATACTCAGCCTCCTAATGGTAGTCAGGTATTAGGTATGCATACCTAGAGACAGTCCTGTTATAGATATCTTCTATATTTATTTTTACTTTAATTCTTCTTACTGGACTCATCCCAACTTAGTATATTTTTTCTAATAAAGTGTTTATAGAGATAGGGCTGTTTGTCCAGTATTCATGTACTTTAGGTATCTATTCATGGGGTTCTGTACTTTGGGTGACATGGGAGTATTAGTTTCACTGCTATAGGATTATCCAATATGTATGTATGTTAAACTAGCAATACCTGATTTCTAGTAGTCCTTATATCATTAGCCAGTTTATATAGAGGACTACATAGCTATATTTTGATTTCCAGGTGATGCAGCAGGTCTCAGGGGTGTTTATGCACTGAGTACTTGCAGTATCTTTTCTCTTCATTTCTAGTCAAGCAGTTATTACCCTACATTGAAAGATTATATCCTTGAATATTCTGTTTTTGCAAGTATGCATCTAGTAGCTGTTTGAACATCTGTATGGACTCTGATAAAACCAATTCTTCAGGCAGAGAATTCCACATCCTGATTGTTCTTACAGTAAAAAAATCTTTCCTTTGCCTTAGACGAAATCTTCTTTCTTCCAGTCTAAACGCATGGCCTCATGTCCTATGTAAAGTCCGGTTTGTGAATAGATTTCCACACAACGGTTTGTATTGGCCCCAAATATATTTGTATAATGTTATCATATCCCCCCTCAGGCGACGTTTTTCTAAACTAAATAGGTTTAAATTTGTTAACCTTTCTTCATAGCTGAGATGTTCCATTCCTTTTATTAATTTTGTAGCCCGTCTCTGTACTTTTTCTAGTGCCATAATATCCTTCTTTAGAACAGGTGCTCAAAATTGCACAGCATATTCAATATGTGGTCTTACCAGTGATTTATAAAGAGGCAAAATGATATTCTCGTCCTGAGAATGAATGCCCTTTTTCATGCATGACAATACCTTACTGGCCTTGGCCACTGCTGATTGACATTGCACATTGTTGCATAGTTTGTTGTCTATAACAATTCCCAAGTCCTTTTCATGTGTTGTTATCCCTAATTCGCTTCCATTAAGGATATACGTTGCTTGTGTATTCTTTATGTCGAAGTGCATAACTTTGCATTTTTCAACATTAAATTTCATCTACCTTTTGAGTGCCCAATCCCCCAGTCTATCTAAATCCCTCTGCAGCAAAGTAATATCTTGCTCACATTGTATTATTTTATAAAGTTTTGTGTCATCTGCAAACACTGAAACATGACTTTCAATGCTGTCTTCAAGATCATTTATAAACATGTTAAATATAAGGGGTCCCAGAACAGACCCCTGAGGGACACCACTTGCCACCTCTGTCCAGCTTGAAAATTTACCATTAATGACAACTCTTTGTACTCTGTTTTTAAGCTAATGTTCTACCCAAGAACAAGTATTTTCATCTAGACCGATTTCCTTGAGTTTGAACACTAATCTATTGTATGGAACTGTATCAAATGCCTTGGCAAAATCCAAATAGATCACATCCACTGCAACACCCTGATCTATAGTTCTACTTACTTCTTCGTAGAACATAGTGTGTCCCACATATTTCAAACAACATGGACATATTGGTAGATAGATGACATTTGTAGAATGACGGGTGATTAATTCTTCTACAGGGAAGATTTTATTATTTTGGGAAATTTTTAAGTGTTTCACATGTCTCTTTTTTGTTTTGTGTGTTCCTAAATGCTAGACATGTGCCACATCCCCCAAAAACTTTTTGTTGATTTAAAAAAGAGGTTTTGGGGTCTTTGTAATTTCTAATCAGTTTTTGTTTCAAACTTGGAGCGCCCCTAGAAATTATCCTGGGTTAACCTGGTAAAAGGTTAAAAAGTAAGGGATCTTCTTTTAAAATTGGCCAATATTTATTTATAATTCTTCTTAATTGATTGCTGTTTTGGTTATAATTGCAAATGTGGCATTGCTTTCCTATTTCTTTTCTTTTGTCAGTAGTAAAATATCCATTTGTGTTTGTTGTACTATAAGGAGGTCTTTGTCTAAATCCTGTTGGCTATAAAGTCTTTTTCTATCTTAGAGCTTGTTCATTATATATTGTTGTCTCTGTGCAATTCTTCTTAATCTCAAAAATTGAGATTTTGGAATTGGTCTCAACCATGGATAAAAATGACAGCTTGTAATTTGAATGTAACTATTAACATCTACAGATTTAAAGTAGATGCTCATTTTGATTTGTCCATCTTCAATAAAAATTTCAAGATCTAAAAAAATAACAGAAGAAGTGCTAAAATTCACTGTTAAAGAAAGAAAGTGATGAATAAGAAATTGATGAATAAGTTGAGGTCTTCATTAGTGCCCTTCATTATACAAAATAGATTATCTATGTAACTGCGATAGGTGACCAGGTTCTCTGTCCAGCCATATCCTTGATAAATGAATTGAATCTCCCAATCTGCCATAAAGAGATTAGCATAGCTGGGGGCGAACCTGGTCCCCATTGTCGTTCCACATATCTGGAGATAGAAATCTCGACTTAACCAAAAATAATTGTTGGTTAAAATTGTTGGTAAAAATAAAATGTATACCCTCAATGATAAAGTTGATTTGATCTTCTGGACATTGGCCTGAATTGGTTATAAATTCCTTGACAGCTGAGCAGTTCCTTGCATGTGATATAATGGTATACAAGAAGCTGCATCAGCTGGTACAAGAACATAATCTTCTCTCCATGGTATGTCTTCCAGCATCTGTGTCCTTTAGGTAGCTTTGAGTTTTCTGGACCATCGGTTGTGGACACTTGTCAATGTATTCTGAGAGCCTGCTGGTTATGGATCCTATACCCAACACTATGGGTCTACCCGGGGGGTTTAATGGGGGCTTATGGATCTTCTGTAAATAATAAAACACCTTTTCTAGGGAACATAGGGAAAATTCATGTTTGTTTATTATTTCTAGATCCTGACCTAAAAATTTATCACATTTTTATTTAATTGATATTATGAAGTCTCATTATAGTTTTTTATATGTTGTATTGTCCCCTAGGAGTCTCAAATATTCTCTTATGTAGTCTTCTTAGGGTATGAGGACTACCCCTCCCCCTTTGTCTGCTGGTTCTATTATTAGTTCCTTATTTTTCTCTGATTTTTTTAGAGCTTTTTGTTCACTCAATAATACATTTCTTTGGTATTTGTTAAAATTTCTTAATTTTTTTCATTATTAGTTTTTCAAAAGTAGCCATTGCATTTGGTATCAAATGACTCGGTAGACTTGTTTTTAAGTGTTGTGTGTATATATTCGTTGTCATTAATGGGTGCTATAGGTTTCATTATTGGATCTTTTAGGAAGAACTTTTAAAAGCATAGGTTTCTTTTGAATCTGTTTAGATCTACATAAGTGTCACATTTATTTCAACCCTTGGTTGGTACAAATTGTAAACCCTTTTGTAATAATTTTAACTCAGGGGTACTTAGAATCATCTCAGTTAAATTGAAAATGCCTGCTTCTTTTTTTATTTCCTTTGTTATTATTTTTTTTGGTTTATCTCTTTTTCCTCTTTTGTACACAAACTCCTCCTCTATTTTGCCATCTTCTATGCCCCTCCTCCTTTTCCCTGGGGACAGACTTGTGCTTGTCTCTTGATCTTGTACTCCAAATATCCTCTTCTTGTAGGATTGTAGAAAATGCCTCAAATCTTTTTCTTAATGGGATTTTAGCTGTTGTAGGTGGTCTGGTTCTTATGTCCATAATTGCCTCTGGCAACAAATTTTTTGATGCCAAGCCACTTAGCTATGTAGTCAGGGAGCATGCTTTGCATCCCACAGATGTCCCTGAACTCCAAAGATTCTGGGCTCTTACAATGCTCATGGAGATAATAAAGAAGGCATCAATTCGCTCTTACTGGAGAACCAACCCAATCTTTTCTAGTCCAGTGTACTCCCAAACCATGTCTAGAACAAGATATGAGTCGATGCTAAAATACAGTACATGACAATACCCTCTGTAACCCCAGAGATCACCCCCAATATGATTAGCTTCATAAAATACGCCCACTGGTAACCATCTTCAGCACAGATTTTCAGTTTATACTCCCAAACAAAAATGTATCCATTGATGAATCCTTAATGCAATACAAAGGGAGATTAGGATTCAAACAATACATTCCCTCAAAGCACGCTACGTATGGCGTCAAATTGTAGAATATGTGCGAGAGCAAAAGTGACTATACGTTTGCCTTTCGCGTATATGAGGGGAAAGATGGTCAACTGGATCCTCCTGGGGACAAATGGGAAAATTGTTTGGGACCTACTGATCCCCTAGTTCAATAAAGGTTACCACCTTCATGTGGACAATATTTATAACAGTGTCCATTTGTTTAAAACGCTTTATGGTTTGCAGACACTGGCCTGCGGCACTGTGAGAAAAATTCCAAAGATTTCCCTAGACCTCTCATAGAGGCCAAATTAAAAAAAAAATGTGAATGTAAAGCTCTGTGCAAATCTGAAGTGCTTGCAATAAAATTTAAGGACAGGAAGGATGTTAACCACCATCCATGACGAAAGCATGTCAGACGTCACTGTCCGAGGCAGAGTACATTCCAACCCTGTTTGCATCAGGGCTTATAACAGGCACATGGGGAGTGTAGATTTGGCTCATCAGCTAATGCAGCCATATCTTATCTTAAGAAAAACAAAAGCCTGGTATAAAAAGGTGGCTATCTATTTGATGCATGTAGCAACCCACAATTTGTTTTTACATTTTAAAAAATAAATCCTGGAAAAACCACCTTTCTCCAATTTCATCTTAAACTCATTTCCACAATCATTTATGGAGATGGTTCAGTTGAAGTTCCAACAATGGTGCCAGAGGAATCCAGAATTTGTGCTATGCATTTTATTTTTAAGATACCGCCAACTGCAAATAAAACAAATCCCCAGAAACGTTGCCAGGTCTGTTATAAAAAAGGGAAAAGGACATAAACCCCCTCTCACTGTACAGATTGCCCTTCAAAACCTGGACTGTGTATTGGAACATGTTTTAAGCTCTACCACACAGAACAT